TCAGTAAATGTCCCCTGTGACTCCTGAAAGCCTGTTCAGCAGTGCAGGTGAAGAAATGGGTTCTATTTTAACCAGCAGGACTGTAATATGTGATTGATGCCTTTGCTTCCCTGTGCATTTCCTTGCACAGCAGGAGATGTCTGTGAAAGATAATTATTCTGAAGGGCTTGTCTTGGAACAAGGGCTTTTACCTGCTCTGGATATTTTTAACTGCTTAGGTGTAAGAAAATTTCTTAGTAGACTTCAGCCCTCCGTATTTTTCAGTACCTAGAGATGCTCTCAGCTGAGGAAAAATCACCCTTTGCTGACATTGATGAAAAACATTTTCCTGTTTTACTTCTGGAATCCTTTGGGTAAAAGGTCTGAGATCAGACAGTATTTGCTGTTTTCTAGGAAGTGAATTCCAGTTGTTGTGTATCTGAGGCCTATTCAACATTTATTAAGGAATACTGTTCTGCTGGGAATGTTGGAGTAAAACAGAAAGAACAAGCCTTGATTTCCAAGGCCTGAGCTCTTGTCTCATGGCAGACAGGAGGAATCTGACTGAAGCAGTTCCAAGACTGCACATGGAGAACACTTCTTGCCATTTTTGGAGGGTAAGTTGGAGTTTTTCAGTTTTGGTCCAGCTGGAAGTGAAACCACACGTGCTTAATCCTGTCTCACAGCAGGCCCTGTAACTGCTCCCACTGAGCTCTCCAGGCAGCTTTAGAAGTAACCAGTTTACTTCTAAAGTTTCCGTGAACTCTCACCCATATTGAACACTTATTAAGGGTAATTTCCAGAGGAAAATGCCATTCCGGATAATTTAATGCTACCCTTGTACCCACATAATGCATTTATGCAAAAAGAATGTTCTGCAGACACTGCTCTTTCCTCTTCAGGACTTCATTTAAATGTGGTTTTGAAAGTCACTTTCTTGGTACTCATTTGTTTTCTGGTGGTTGCAGTCAGACCTGTTCCTGCTGAAGTGAATGGGCAGGAGGTGACCTGTACTCACACATCAAACCCATTCCTTCAGATCCAACCCTGTGGAACGTGTGTCCCTGCCAGCTGCACACCAGCCCCTGTAGGGCACCAACCCGTGGTGTCAGCAGCCCCTCTGAACTGAATCAATCCCTTAATTTGCTTCTACCAACATCTCGCCAGCGTTTCTGCCTGAATATTGCAAAATTCAATCACTGTGAAAAGGCAGGAGGGAGCAGAAACAAGAGCAAGGCTGAACTGAATGTACTTGTTGAGCTCTGTGGGCTGCAAGGGCTGTGCTGTGCCTGTGGAAGCACGCCCAGTGCAAACACTGGACACACTTCAAACACTCCTTGGGAAGGTCCTGCTTTGCTGAAGGACAGAGCAGGTAATTGTGCTGGTAATTGCTGCTGCAGGAATTGAAGGTGCAAGTCAGAGCTGTTCTGCATTTGTAGAGTAGCTGGATGGCTGTGGGTTTGCACCTACTGCATTAGTGTAAAAATACTTGGCTGTTGAGTTACCTTTATTACATGAAATCTATTATGGTTCTTTCTCCATCACAAAAAGCAGATAGAGGCAACAAAAGAAAGCCAAGCACTGTTTGTGCAGCCTTCCTCAGCATCCTGATCTCCCCACAGACACTCACTCCAGCCCTGCTTGCTGTTTTCCCCCTTGTATCTTGTCTTTCAGAACCACATCTGATGCGTTGTATTCTTTGAGCATGTTATCTCATTTACAGTAACATTAATGTCATTTATCATCTGAACTGATCCCAAGGCTGTGTTGGATTTGAGGGAGTACCTGGCAGAGGGAAGCAGGGGAAAGGCCTGGAGCACAGCCAGTGCAGAGGCACACGGGGCATGTCACTTGTCCCACAGCTCTGAACTCCTTGGGAGCTCAATTTGCAAACACTGCAGACCTGAGGAGGCTGCAGCAGGAGCAGGGAATGCACAACCCTAATTCCTAATGTAACTGATGCTATGGAATGCTGCTCTGGGAAAACACAACCTGGATTGTTACAGGGGAGAGGATTTAGCAAAGGGGTACATGGTGTGTGGGGCTGTTCAGCCCTAAATGTATAAACAACAGGAGTTCAGATAGTGCACAGTGCCTGGACTGGACATTCACAGGTGTGCTGTCCCTCTGCTCAAAGCACTCCAGAAGTGTTTAGATTTCACCTGGGCAGGAGAAATGCAGTAGCAGCCTTTCCACAGTCCAGATCCTCTCACCCCTGCTTAAGCTGCTGCCTCTTGAGTAGCAGCATCCCAGAGTGCTGCCAAAGGCCATCAGCAGTGTCACCCAGCCCCAGAGCATGGAAAAACAACAAACTTCCCTGAAAGCTCTGTATTTCCCTGTATTCCCAGTAAGACAAAATGAAGCACTTACAGGATCCTGCTGGAGGAAGGATTATTAGGCAATTCCCTCCAAAGGAACAGTGGAAGAAAAAGGAGTTAAAGGTTTTTCTTCAAAATAAACCCATGCCCAGGGTGGATGAGTTCTGTGTTGCTGCTGACAAGCATCCTAATGTGAGACAACTCCGTTGCAATTTGAGGCAATAAAGCAAATAAAGAGGGAAGAACAGAAACCCTGCAGTAGTGAGCTCCCCTAATCAAGCACAGAGTGAACCAGGGGCAAGGTAACAGAAACCAGATAAATATACAGACACTCTCCAAAAGGAGAGTGGGATACGAAAAATACAGTAATGGAAAATACCTAATCAAAAGAAATGGAGGGAACAAAACCAGAAACTGCCAAAAATGAAGAAAATGCTCATCACTCTGAGCATGTGGAGGGGTATGGATATATATCCTGAAAATACAAGTTAGTTTTCACCAGAGTAAAAAGCCCAGTGCCAAAATATGACAGACAATGTAAGGAGATGGAAATTGAAAGCATCACTACCACAAATTTCAGCTATTTTTCCAAATCCATGTATGCCATTGGAAGGTGATTCTTATCTCAGTCCTCTCAGTCTTCAGGCTCAGGAAAAAGCCCACATTTTGGACCATGGCATGGTTCCAGAAGGAATGAATGTGAAGGTGATGGCACAGCTCCAAGGGTTGGTCCTGCAGGGTCATGGCTACTGCAATCCTCATGTGCTCCATAAACAGTCGTGTCTGTCAGAAGCACAAGACAAAGAGGAGTCTGGTGCCGCACACCAGGCTGTCCCTCTGCACCTCCTGGGCAGCTTTCAGCAGGATCCCTGCTCACAAACGCTGGATTTCCACAGACTGCTGCTTTTTTGCAGGCTCTCCAAATCCCAGCAATCCCATCCTCCAGGGCTGTGATGAGGTGGGAATCTGCTGTAGTGAGTGGAAAAGGCTGGACACAGAATGAGCACGCGGAGTTGTATCACCACAGCCATCACTGAGAAAGTACAAACCCCCCATGTTTCCTCAGGAAATAACTATCCTTCCATCATGTACATCATGTATTCACTGTAAGCTGTTATTCCTGCTGTTTAACAGGTTACCAGCTCTTGTCCTGTAAAACCCCATAATCCAGAAGACTAAGGGTATAATTAGACTATCCCTAAAAATGCAGGTATCTCCTAAAAGCCTGTCTGCTCCTCCAGAAGTGAATCACTTTTGTGGACAAATGGCTTTCTTTTGCTTTAGCTCCCTGCCCTCTCAGCAGGTTAGATGAATGCGTGGGAGTGGATGGCTGAGATCAGGGAGAAGCCAATCCATGCCCCTTAACACCACCCAGCTAGGCTGGTTTGTTGTACCCTGGCATAATTGCATGTTGGGTATTAGTGTTCCCCAAAAAGACAAGATGCACGTTTGAAAAAATTAATTCTAACTAGCATTCATTTTTCAAGCAAATGTGTAAAGGGTTGGGGATATTAACCCAAAGTGTTCCAAATCTGCAGTAGAGGCGGGGGGAGGGATATGACTTTCCTTAATGTCTTTCTCCCTTAAATTCTGCATCCATCAAGTGTTGCAGTCACCACCAGTACACGCAGCCCTCTTTTCACAGCGGAAAATTCTGCACCGCTTGGATCTCACTGTTAACCATTCCCAAGCTCCCAAACGCCGTGCAATTCCCAGCACTTTATCGACGCTGAGAGGCCCCGAGATAAATTGAAACAAATTCAAACAAATTCAAACCAGCCCGGCACGGGAGCCTGGAGCCTGCGGGGACACGGCAGGGACAGCGCCAGAGGAGGAGCCCCGGGATGGGGAGAGGAACGGGCATGGACTCGGGGATGGGGAAGGAGAAGGGGACAGGGATGGAGACAGGCATGGGGATACGGACAGGACTGGGATGGGGCCAGGGCCGGCGACGGGACTGGGAGGACCCGACGTTTCTCCATAAATCATCTGCGCGCACGGGGAACGCTCTGAGAGGCACCGAGATAAATTGAAACAAATTCAAACAAATTCAAACCAGCCCGGCACGGGAGCCTGGAGCCTGCGGGGACACGGCAGGGACAGCGCCAGAGGAGGAGCCCCGGGATGGGGAGAGGAACGGGCATGGACTCGGGGATGGGGAAGGAGACGGGGACAGGGATGGAGACAGGCATGGGGATACGGGCAGGACTGGGATGGGGCCAGGGCCAGCGACGGGACTGGGATGGGCATAGGGACGGGGATAGGGACCAGGGATGGGGATAGGAACAAGGATGTGCACGGGGATAGGGAAAGAGATGGGGAAGGGGATGAGGAAGGAGACGGGGATTGGGCCGGGGCCGGGACTGACAGGATAGAGACAGGGATAGGAACAGGGATGGGGATAGGAACAGGGATGTGCACGGGGATAGGGAAAGAGATGGGGAAGGGGATGAGGAAGGAGACGGGGATTGGGCCGGGGCCGGGACTGGGACGGGCACAGGGACGCGGATAGGGTCCCCAGACAGGGATAAGGGACAGGAGCCGGGCACAGGGACGCGGATAGGGTCCCCAGACAGGGATAAGGGACAGGAGCCGGGCACAGGGACGCGGATAGGGTCCCCAGACAGGGACAAGGGACAGGGGCCGGGCACAGGGACGCGGATAGGGTCCCCAGACAGGGACAAGGGACGTCCCGAGCGCGCTCCGGCCGCCGCCGCTCCCCCCGCGCTCCCCGCATGTCGCTGGCGCCGCGCCCCGCGCCCCCACAGCCGCCCGCCGCCGCCCTCCGCCGCAGCCGCCGCCCTTGATGTGGTTCGGGGCCGGGCGGGGGAGAAGATGCCGCCGTCCAAGTCCCGCAAGATCGCGATCCTGGGCTACCGGAGCGTGGGTGAGCGCGGCGCGGGTTGCGCGGCGGGGGTGCGGGCGGGGTGCTCCGGGTGCCGCCGCATCGCCCTCCCCCGCGGCGGCGGCGGCGGCGGCGGCAGGTGCAGCGGAGGCAGCGGCGCTTCCCGCCGCCCCGAGCGCGCAGCCGCGGCCCGAGGGAGGGAGCGAGGGAGGCCCCGCCATGGCGGCGCCGCAGAGCTGCGGGCCCGCGGCCGCCGTGCCCTTAATAGGAAGTTTCGCCCCCCGCACTCCCCGAACGCAGCCCGGAAAAGCGGGATCGGGGGAGCTGCCGAGAGGGTTCCTGCTCCGCCGGCTTTGCTGTGCTGGGGTCCAGCTCCGTATGGAGCGAGCCCGGGGAAGGGCAGCGGAGCTGGGGAAGGGTCTGGAGCGCGTGTCCCGTGAGGAGCGGCCGGGGGAGCTCAGCCCGGAGGACGGGAGGCTCAGGAGGGGCCTCACGGCTCTCCGCAAGTCCCTGACAGGAGGGTGCGGCCAGGTGCGAGTCGGGCTCTGCTCCCGGGCAACCAGGACATGAGGACACGCTCTTCAGCTGCGCCCGGGGAGGTTTGGGTCGGACACAGGAAGAATTTGTTCTCAGAAAGAGTGATCGGACACTGGAATGGGCGGCCCAGGGAGGTGGTGGAGTCACCGTCCCTGCAGCGGCGCTCGGTGCCGTGGTTGACACGGTGATGGTGGGTCCCTGGTCAACCTCAGAGCACTTTTCGAGCCTCGGTATTTCTGTGATTTAGAACGAGTTTTAGATGCTGGGGAGGCCAGGCGGGTGCGTTGCCCGTGTCTGGCCTGTTTCTGCCCCCGTGGAGGTCTGTTCCCCAGGGCCGCCTCGGCTCCGGGCTGTGCCCAGCACTGCTGGGACAATCCAGCCCGGGCTCATGGCTGGGACCATCTTCGTGGAAGCGTCCAGCACGAGTCTATAGCAGCTGATAGAGGGTTTTGTTCCGTATGAAAAAGTGTGATCTTTTCTCCTGCATTTGATGGAGAACGGTTTCAGATGTTTCAGCATTCGGGCTCTTGAAGCAGAGGGGAACAAGCTGTAGTAGAGCCGCTGCTAATCGATCAAACTTAAAAGCATAGATCAATGTGTAAGATAATGTGTGGTTGGAGGGGAAAAAGATGGTACAGAGAGATACTACTCTGATATAAATGGGGTTTTTACATTGAAAACAGTTATTATATCAGTAATTTGTCTTACATGGCACACAGTTTAAAGAACCCTTTAAAGAAGCTTTTTTCAATATATAAAAGTGGGCTAAATAAGGAGAGCTTCTTCTTGCATTTTGTGCATAGCTGCAGCCAGGTTGGTGTTAAAAGGATGATGAATTTGTCCAGTTCTTAAACAGAACAGTGCGTAGTAGATTGATCAGTTTGCACAGTCTGTATGACATCACTTGTTGCAGTCTGTTCATTGTCCTGTGTGCTATGTTTTCTTTCTTCTTTGAGCACTGGTGGGAGCAAAGCAATGGGCAGTGGAAGTGGGAAGGGGGAAATGCTTGAAATTCTGTTCTTTGGAAGTCTGTGGTGGGGACTGGGTGTGCTGTTGAGCTTTGGTCCTTCATCTGTTGACATGGACAAACAGCAGTTAGGAAATCTGATATTAGTGGGGTGTAAGACCAGTCGAGGAGAAAGAGAAGTAGTATAATGTTGTTAGTTTGGTTGGTGATGTGAGCAATAGTATTCGTGGAAAGGATGGCCAAAAAGTTACCTAACTGTTAAGACCTACTGCTGAACTTCTTTAGCTAAAGTTTTCTGGGACTAGTATGGAATTTGGCTTGATAGGACAAGACCAGTTTTATTAGGAGAGCTTCAAATTGTATGGACATAGAATTAAGTGGGGGCGGGGGGTGGATCTGGTTTACTGGAATTTTCCCTTCATTGTCATTTAATTTCTTGGCAAATACTTAGGTGAAAGTTCAAGCAGTAGAAATGGGCCATTGAGGTCCTACTTCCATCTTGTAAAGCTGTTAGAAAAGCAGGAAGGTTAACCTGTGAGATTTAGACTATGCTCTGCTTCCCCAAATATCCCTCCTAAAGTGTAGTAGGATGGGGACTGAGTTTGGCTTCAAGGAAACTTTTGATTAAGACTTGCCTTGTATTATGATGGCAAGAATATCACTTGAACCCTGGATAAGAAAGGATGTAATTCCATTTTAGGACAAGTGTTTGGGTGGTACAAAAGGAAGTACGTTTCTTTTGGAGGAAATGCTGCATTGTATAGAGGTAATACTCATTAAAGTGGGGAATAATTCCAGAATCTGAAGGACTGGAAGGAAATGCTTTCTACATTTCCTTTTGTAATTAGGGAACAACATTGTTTTGCCATTAACGTTAATCTTGACCCTGGAATTAGGGAGGTTAGCTTTGGTGAGTTGTAAGATGGTTGCAGTTTCATAGGTTGGCCCTAAATGCTTAGGTGACCTGCTCTGGGAAGCTGGGTGCTCCCCCTGCAGTATTTGAGATTAAGCTGTCAAAAAAAACGAGGAGCTGTTTTTCCCATGTCTCTCTCAGTTAGGTGCTGAAATAACCAGGTTTTGATGATGTATGTCAAGCAGGGAGCTTTTCCCTACAACTGTTGATTCAACAACACCGTGGGTCTCTCAGGTTACAAGTGTGTACAGTGAAGGGTGGGCACGCCCTCCCTGGGGATTTGTGAAACAGGGTCTGAAAATTGCCCTGGATTCGTGCTAAGGCCTTGTTTATTTTACTTACATTAAATTTTAATCTTATCCCGCTGCTGTTGTCAGGTAAACTGGAGGTTGGGAGTGGTATTCTGGTATAATCGTTCTCAGAATAGAAAATTCAGGAGTCTGCTTGTTTGAATACACTCCCTCTATCTTTCAACACCGCCATCAAGCCTTTCATATGTGAAACTCTTATTCTTTGCTGATGGGAGAGATCACAGTGGCAGCCTCGTGAATTCCCAGGCAGTCATACTTTCTGAGATGCAGACAGAGTATTTGCCAGGAGCTTTAGGAGTTGTTTTTTGGTGAGGAAGACTATCTGTGGATATAGCATGCAGGTCGTGGCATGACGTGAGACAAAATCACACAAGAATGTCTCTGTTGGGTTTTGCTCAGGCTTAAATTGGTCTAAGAAAGCTAAATTCCATTATGTAAGTGTGCTTGTCTCAGCAAGGTTCTGAGTAGAAATCAGATGGATTTCATCTCAAGATCTGAGTTTCACAACAGAGGAACTTGACTTCCATTACTGTTAGCTGGGAAATGACCAGAGTGGATCAGCTGTTTGAGATTTGATTCTGGACGAAATCTGTCTTGTGCATGATGAAGCATAAAATTTTATAAAGTTACTGCCTTCATTAAAAAGAATCTTCGTGTTTGTGTTTTGGTCATAACTTAATATCCCAAATATAATTGGAAGTAATGGATTTGCTTGGAAATAAATCAAGCAGGACTAAGATTTTCTGGATCTTTTTAGAGTAACAGCCTCTCTAAAAGCAGGTTAGAGTCGCCAAAAATGCTTTGTGTTCAGTTTCATTCTCTGTTTGTAGAACAGATGTGCAAATTCAGACCACAAATGCCTGTAGGAAAGAAGAAGTTTCTTAGATCATCTTGTAAAGTACCTTATTAATGGGATTCTCTGTGTTCTATTGAATGGATGGATTTAAGATAAGCAGGAAGGTATTGTTTGGATCAGCTCCTTCAGTTGTAGGTCTTTATCTCAGCCCAATTTCTTTTGTGCTGCTGGTTTTACAGATGTACTTGCAGAAACAGGAATTCTCTTTCTGAATTTTACAAGTTTGTACTGGTCACCTGAAAATGCTGTCCTGGGCACTTTATGGCTCTGAGGGGAAAATCCAGTTAATAATAGGGAACTTACCTATTTTCTTCCCTGGATAAATAAATCAACTTCTTTTGTGTGTGTAGGTGTAGAGCAGACCATCCTGCAGGCATAAGTAGTCATGGTCTGGCTGCAGCATGCAGGTATCAAAAAAAACCTGTGATGGAACAAAATGATCTGTCAGGATTAGATTTGTGTGGAAAGGCTTCCAGGTGATTGTATTCAGCTGAAAAAATGTCTCTGCCCCCTCCACTTTGCTTGAAAAGCAAGAAGGCAGAAAAAACAGTAACTTCCATATGAACCTGTAAATAGTAGATTTTTGTGGCAAAACGTAGTTTGAAAACACGAGTTGTGTGAATATCAGGAGGTTTGCACTGTAAAATGGAGCTGGGGCTTTGCTGTTCGTGTCTGAAAGATGGCATCTGCTCGCACAGCAGCGTTCCGCCCCGAGCAGGGATCCCTCTGGGATTGGACGGGGAAGTGGTAATTTTAGCAGGCGATAAATTGCCCGTGTAAATGTCAACAGAGGAGGAATGGAGAAATTACCGCTGTCGTGCGCTGTAATTTGGTTTACACAATCGGCTGTGTCCGCAACGTGGGAAAGCCTGAGATTTACCAGGAAAGCTGAGCGCTTCGGGAGCCAGCTGATATGCAAGGTTACGTTTTGCTGTCCCTTGTAAAGTGCCAAGATGACTTCCACAGCCCTTCCCTCGCCAGGGCCGCAGTTGGCTCTGCCGGGGTGCGGCAGTGCTGGAGGAGGAAAGGTTGCAGCTCCCAGGGGAGCGGGATGAGGCTGGAAATGCCGGCTTTAATTGCATTTCGGTGTTAGCGGCTGCAGCAGGGAAAGTTGCTACAGAGCCTTTGATAGCAGTAGCTGGAAGCACTAGAGGCAGCATGTTCAGCTGTAATATCAAGCCACCGTAGGGTTATTTGAGGACACTGCTCGAGGATTAACTCTTAAATTGCCTGCTCTGATCTGTCAATGGCAACACTTGCACGTTTTGCTTGTATGTATGGGGGCGTTTTGGTGTTTGATTACACAACTTGAAGTTCACATCGACAGGAAAAGCTAAATGAAATGTAGATCCTGTAATTTATAAGCTATATAAAGTTGGAGCTCTTCATTTAGAGATACTACACTGCCTGGAGTGTAGGTTCTGGCTCAAGCAGCCACCTCTGCGGTACAGGCTGCTG